ATCTATTTTTTTAAACTTTTATTTCCCTATTTTTTTGCCTTTTATGATCTGGGTAGTCCAGAGTAAGGCCTTACTTTACAACAGTTAGCGCAGACTACAGATTTCATGGCTTTCTGTTTGATAGCTACAATATATGTAACTTTTGCTATTATGTAGCTACTGTACTCCGACTGACTACTTCTGTCAGGTCAGCTCCCTCGCATCTACAAGAGGACTCTGGAGGTCTTCAGACAAAGTTGCTGAAGCTTGACTGGGGTGTCTGATGACTTCTTCTTCCACTGGACCAAGCTGCAGCTCTTTCCTTTCATGCAGGTATCGTCCCCTCTGCCTTTGCATCTTCTATTCATCTCCCAGGCAGGTATCAACACCTCTGTCTGTGCTGCCTCCAAACAACTGCCTTTTCTCATGCCTAGCTCTTTCCTAAGATGTTCCCAGGATCAGGGACCAGGGCAGCCAAACAACAGGTCCAAAAGCTTTACTGAAATCCAGAAAGGATACTCAGCCACTTTAGCTACTTACCTTAATCCAGCGCCGGGCTCCCTCGATGCTGGTGACCTCTCCTCCCCCAGCCGACGTCAGCCCCAAATTCACATGTGGGCCAGAGCCACGTGTGCATTCAAACCGCCCATAGGAAAGCATTACTGAATGCTTTCCTACAGACGACCATCGTGAGTTCAATGCGATTTTTGCATTGAGGGTCGAGGAAGCGGCCTCTAGCGACTGTCAGGCAGACAGCCACTAGAGGCTGGATTAACCCTCAATGTAAACATAGCAGTTTCTCTGAAACTTCTATGTTTTCAGCTGCAGGGTTAAAACTAGATGACCTGGCACCCAGACCACTTCATTGAGCTGAAGTGGTCTGGGTGCCTATAGGGGTCCTTTCATTTATTATTATTATTTCTATTAATGAGAAAAAAAAAGAATAAACTGAAAAAAAAGAAATAAAAATATCAGATATCTTCTACTTAGGGTTATCCCATTTTCTTGCCTTACTAATTAAGACCTTTTTTGTTCCAACTTTTTCCCTTTGAACATGTAATGTATGCATGTTCAGGTGAGTGCAGTCCTCTTGGTTTAATATATATATATATATATATATATATATATATATATATATATATATATATATATATATAAAAAATACAAAAATCCCCTGCACTCACGTCCAAAATCCTACTACCGGGCGCAAACACCAGGGCTCCACGTAACACAGACTCCAAAGTGGCAACGGCTGCTCTCCGGTTTTACAAAAGTTTTATTGAATCAAAATAAAAACAATGACCGACGTTTCAGTCCCAGCTCGGGACTTTCCTCAGGGTCCAACAAAACAGAATAACAAATATCATAATTTAAATGCTAAATATATACCTATATAATTAAAAACTCACCCAGGTGTGCTGCTGCTATCACCACCGGGGTCGCCGAACTTCCGGGTATGCGCGCGCACCTCCGCACGCTCACTCCTCCCACACCACGTGCTGACGTAATACGTCCAATCACCATGGGGACATGTATACAAAATTCTCAACACCGTGGCAACTAAATGTTAATTAGAAAGATCGTGATAATAAAGTAGTGTTTGAGTGAACAATATGGTGAATGATGGAACATTATTAAGAAGGGGTGTATAAACACCCAAGATGCCATTATATAATTATGGCATTAATAATATATAAACTTGAAAGTGCATAGTTAGTATTAAATGACCTATTAAAGTGACATCAGTGTAAGGTGCATTATAATATGCTATCATATAATAAAGTGCCATATGCCCTCAAGTGCATGATATGCCCAATACATCAATGTTATTCAAAACAGACTAATAGCATACGACACATACTAAAAAAAGGGGAACATATAAAATTAATACATCCCATATTCTAATACTAAACACCAACTATATATTATACTCATAATATTAAAAACAATTGGTAACAAGCTGTCAAATAAAGGCATTGTACGAAATATTTTCATTAAGTCCCATGGGAGATACTGTATTCAATTGATATATCCAGAAAGCTTCCTTTTGAAGGAGCATTTTACTCCTATTGCCACCTCTACGAGGAAGAGGGATGTGGTCTATACCCACAAATTTAAGGCATGTCAATGGATGGTTTTTGTCCAAAAAATGTTGAGCCACCGGTTTGTCTGAATGTCCGTCCCTGTACGCCAATCTAATACTCGAACGGTGGCCTCTAATGCGCTCACAGAGTTGTGTCTCCGTCTTGCCCACATAATACAATCCACACGGACACATCAATTTATATACCACAAACATTGTTTTGCAAGTGATAGTGTGTCTAATATCGTAAACTTTGTTAGTGTGTGGGTGGCTGAATTTCTTTGCCGGTATCATATGTCCACAAGTTACACACCCCAGGCACCGAATACACCCTCGTATGTTTTGTTTCATATCCTTCGAATAGCTTGCAACTGGATCTGTATGCACCAGCAAGTCTTTCAGGCTCTTATTCCTTTTATAGCATATCAACGGCGGTTCTTTAAAAACTTTTGGCAACGTGTCATCCGTTGCAAGCATCTTCCAATTGTCTTTAATCACTGTTGATACCAAATTTGAGCAATTATGGAAAGTCATAGGAAACACTATCCTCTGAGTAAGGTCTTTCCTAGGTTGTACTGAAGCTGCCTTAGCCTTTATCAGTGCATCTTCCAATATTCTAGTTCCATATCCCCGTTCAGCAAACTTGTGTGTCATAGTTATCAACTGTGTCTCTGCTTTATCTTGGTTTGAATTATTACGGATAACTCTTTGGAACTGTGCCTTTGGAATAGAATTTTTCAACATAGTGGGATGAGCACTATGTGCGTGCAATAAAGTGTTACGGTCTGTAGGTTTCGTGTATAATGTATATTGTATTTTGTTGAATCCGTAAGACAACTCCAGGTCTAAAAATTGGACCTTCTCATCACTGATATTAGCCGTAAATTTAATGGGCGTTGGTAGCCTGTTTAATTCATTCACCATCTCGTATGCTTCAATTGACGTTCCGCGCCAGAGTATTAACAGATCATCTATATAGCGATAGTAGCTAATGATGTTGTCCCGATAAGGTATAAGAATATGTTGGGTCTCATACATATACATGAACGCGTTGGCATACATGGGGGCCATAGAAGACCCCATCGATGTGCCTGCCACCTGTAGATACCACTGGTTTTCAAACCTAAAGTGGTTATTATAGAGGATCAATGCCAATAATTCCAAAACAAATTCAACAGTTGGGCCCCGATACAACGGGGATTCACTTAATACCTGTCGCATAGCATCAATGCCATCTATGTGAGGGATTACTGTATATAGGCTGCCAACGTCCATTGTGATGAATATAGGAACAGTACCATATAGATCCAAATTGTTGAGCCTATACAAAAGGGTCTGTGTATCTTTAATACATGTGTTCAACGCCTCCACTGGCTCCTTAAAAAGAAAATCTAGCCATTGGGCTATGGGTTCCAATATTACATCAATGGCTGAAACAATAGGATGACCAGGAGGTCTCTGTGTGTTTTTATGAATCTTAGGAATACTGTAGATTATAGGAGTGCGAGGGTGTTGTTTCTCTAAAAAACGATGAAGATCTAAATCAATGAAACCTGACCTAAGGCCCATTCCAAGGACATCAGCTATTTTCCTTTGTATGTCAACCGTAGGGTCACCGGATAGAGGGTAATACGTGTTGGTATCTGCAAGTTGTTGTTTAAGATCATTGGCATAGTCTGTATAGTTCAAAATAACTATGCCACCCCCCTTATCTGCTGAACGGATGACTATTGTGGGGTCCTTTGCCAGGTTATCAAGAAGACATCTTTCCTCCTTAGTGATGTTCTGGGGTGTTTGCCTGCGTTGTAAAAAAATTTGTTGTGCCATCTTGGACGTGACATTTAAGAAAGTCTTAATTGATGGTTTGGTTGTCTGTGGATCAAATGTAGACTTCGGTCTGAATCTATCAATAGTTTTATGAGTTGATTGGATTTTATCTTTATTCAAGATGTTAAAATATTCCTTTAATCTCATATTTCTCCCAAATTGGAATAACTCAGTACTCCATCTAAAACAATTTGGATTACTGGTAGGTACGTATGATAATCCCTTACTTAGGATATTGATCTCTGTATCACTAAGTTGTCTGTGGGATAAATTGAAAAGAGGGATTATCTCCTGTGGGGGGGTTTTCCCCTTACTGTTGTTTTTGCCCTTGCGCCCTCTCCTATTTCTGGGGCGCCTTCGCCTCGGCCCTTGCTCCTGGTAGTGGTGCCCATTTCCTCCTGACCTAAAAAAACGGGAGTGTTGTTAGGGGTCTCATTGTTTGAAGCAGATTCACCCGATGTTACATCAATAGTTGTAACATTAGGGCGAATTATCCTTTTATGGAAACGTCTGGGTCTCGGAGGACGGTCACCTGCTAGCCATCTATACACCCGATGGTCATGATAATCTTGTTGTACTCTCTCATATTTTTGTTTCTTGAACCTCACTAATTCGTTTTTATACTTCAGCAATTCGATCTTTAATTGTTGCTGCAATTTAATTCCCTCAGGTGAGGATAATAATATTGCTTGTTCCGTCTCCAATACAACAATTTTCTGCTTCACTTCAGCTAAATCCGTTTTAACATCCTTGATAGTGATTAGCATTAGGTCCAAGGAAGCTTTATTAAGGACATGTGTCCAATCACGACATACTGTCGCTTTAAGCCTTCCTATAGTCGGAATGTTCAATAATCTAAACCCACGGGGAATCATACGTGCTTTATAATAATCCGACAAAAACAGACCATGTAGATCTAGGTCCACACTTTTCTTGTGCAAACGTAAAAGTTTAAAATAAATATCCTTAGATGTAGCTTGATTAGGAAGCTCCTGTCCAGTTTGTTCCCACAAAATACTAGTGGCATCATCAGCTGTAAACTGTAATGTCTCAGCATGTTCCACGTACGCCCCTGCTTGTACCAAAAAATCATCCATGTCCAATTAAAAAAAGGCAGGCAAAAATGTGTGTCAGTATGTCTGTATGTCTGTATGTCTGACACACACACAGACAGACATACGGACACACACACAGACATACTGACACACACAGACATGCTGACACACACACACAGAGGGCCTATCCTCAAGGCGCCCGAAGATGGGTAAGGCAGAACAGGCACCTGCTTACCTTGATGGCAGGTGCTTGCTCTGCCAACAAATGCCAGTGACCATTCGGAGGAGTGAGGGACAGAAAAGCCAGGTGGCAAGGGAGGCTCTTCTTGCAGCCTCTCACTCCTCCCTCGTGCTCTCCCTGTGATGCCGGGAGCCGGAATATGACATCATACTGGCCCCGGCATACTAAACAGCGGGCAGGAGGAGTGAGGAGCTGCCCCACACTGGACCCCAGGGAGGTGAGTGTTTGAGTGTTTGACTGTCAGTGAGTGTGTGTTTGGGGGGGGTCTGTCAGTGAGTGTCTGCCTGTGTGTGTGTGTCTGTCAGTGAGTGAGTGTATGTATTTCAGTGTGTGTCAATGAGTGTGGCTGGCTGGTATACCTCTTACTTTCCCCAGCCCCTTTTTGAGTCTGTTTCTCCCCCTAATTCTTTGTGTATCTCTTTACCCCTTCCTCTCCATGTGTCTCATCCCCCAGCCCTTCTGTGTGTCTGTTTGTCACCCCAGCTATTCCCCCTTTGTGAGTCTCTTAGTGCCCCCCAACCCCACTGTGTCTTTGTCCCCATAGCCCTTTTGTGTGTGTCTCTTTGTGCACCAGCCCCTCTATGTGTCTCATTTTCCCCACCAGCCCCTCTATGTGTCTCATTCACCCTCCAGCCCCTACATGTGGCTCACACCCCACCCCAGCCCCTTTTATGTGTCTCATCAAACCTCCAGCTCCTCCATGTCTCTCATTATCCTTTTCAGCCAGTCCATGTGTCTTATTCCCCCTCCCCAGCTCCTCCATGTGTCCCATTCCCTTAATCTCCTTCCATGTGTTCCATTCCCTTCCCATCCCCATCCCCATGTGTCCCATCACCCCGTACCTTGTGTGTATCGTGGCCGGGTCAGAGGTCGAAACTCCTGTACCACAGTCTGCCTGCTCGGCCAAGCTACATTCACTGATCCTAAAATTGCACCATGTACCCCGCACCAGCCCGAAGGTATGTCAGGCCTGACCATTGTCACCCCTCTAATCAGTGGACCGCACCCTTCCCTCCCCTCCCCCCCCACCACTACCTAATACGCCTCTGCTCGTTTATAACACTTGACTGGATTTCATCATTGTTGCAGTATTCCTTATTTTATTGAAGTGTATTTATATTCAGTTGAAACTATATATATTGTTATTATATTATTTATAACATACTAGCATACTGAAAATGAGTAAACAAACCAAGTAATAGACAAACAAATTGGGCATATGGGAACAACGTTGTCAAGAGCCCTGCACAAATATATCTAAAGCTTTTCAGGCTTTATATCTTTTATCCTATAGTATTTATAATTTTAGTTTCATGAATAATGTTTGCATCAAACACTGCTAGTTGTAAATTGCACTCAAAGATAAGTGGATGATGGCCTGCCTCAAGTGGGAAATAAAATGTAGTTAACAGATCATGTTAGAAAAAAATGGCGCTTAATGTATTTTTCAATCAATATTTTATCTTAAAACATCTCAGCCTCACTGTTTTCATAAATGAACTATAATTAAGGCCAGGTTTATTATCAGTCAGTGTATGAATATACAGTGAGTGATCTGAATCCTCAAATAGATACAGAGCCTACACCAAAAAATCTCTCTGGTGACATGTTTATTAATATGACTGTAAAAAGTAGGTTCTTACTTATGGAAAGGTGATATCCCCAGCAGCAGTAGCTCAAAATGTTGCAAATTCAACGTATATATTTAAAACGGACTGGACATCTAGATGTAGGAATCTATGGAATCCACTGCTTGGGTATGACAGTCAATAAATCAGTAGTAGACGGTGAACTAAACTGTACCCCACTATCCATTTAACCCCATGTACTCAACCCCTGACCCAATAGGATGTTGTCAAGATAAGTCATGCCCAACCCCAAAATCATATACCTATATGCATGTGTAAAACACTAACCACTTTAAAGGGTTACTCTAACCACCATGACCACGTTTGCTTTTAATGGGAGAAGTCTGTGTGTTCTCTTTGAGAAGAATTTGATTAAGCCAAGGGAGGCAGTGACATCAGATGAGGCATGGAGAGAGCTTTGTCCAGCACTGGATTCAAGGTATGTTTTAGCTTAATTTGGTGCTTTATAACAGGGGGGACTAATGCCCAATTCTAGATTGAAAGGATTTTATTTTTCAAAAAGGGTAGAAGTAACACGTTAAGCCCCCCTTGATTCTATTACTTAATATGAGTTCTAAAAGACAGGACACAAACTATCTTTAATGAAGTAAAGGATCTAATAGGCCAATGCAAAGCCAACAGGAGACATCAGAAACCTTGCTAGAACAGACTAAGCATGTCTGAGATGTATACACTTAGAAACAGAGCTGTCTTTATGCATGGGAATGCTGGGCAGTTGCCCAGGGGCATGGGCGTAGGAACTGGGGGGGATGAGGGGGGACGCATCCCCCCCAGCAAATCATGCAGGGGGGACAGGCTATGGGAAAATCCCCCCCAGCTCCGCCGGCCCCTCCATGCTGCAGCCGCCCGAGCGCTCTGAAGAGAGCCTCAGGCGGCTGCAGCTTTGCCCGGGCGGTGCGTCCATGAGGGCAGACCGCACCGCCTGGGCGCAGCCTGAGGAGAGGGGCTGACAGGAGGGAAGCGCTCAGCGCTCAGCGCTCCCTCCTGTCACTCCCTCACTGTAGCGTGGCCGAGCCCAGTATAGTCCTCGGGTACAGGGAGCATCTGTCTCCTGTACCCGGCCGGACTAACAGGAAGTGCACACTGAGTGGGAGGGGGAGAAAGAGAGTGACAAGGGAGGGAGGGAGGGCGAGCCCAGTGTAGCGTGGCCGAGCCCAGTATAGTCTGCGGGTACAGGGAGCATCTGTCTCCTGTACCCAGCCGGTATAGTCCTCGGGTACAGGGACATCTGTCTCCTGTACCCGGCCGGACTAACAGGAAGTGCACACTGAGTGGGAGGGGGAGAAAGAGAGTGACAAGGGAGGGAGGGAGGGCGAGCCCAGTGTAGCGTGGCCGAGCCCAGTATAGTCTGCGGGTACAGGGAGCATCTGTCTCCTGTACCCAGCTGGACTAACAGGAAGTGCACACTGAGTTGTTGCAGTATTCCTTATTTTATTGAAGTGTATTTATATTCAGTTGAAACTATATATATTGTTATTATATTATTTATAACATACTAGCATACTGAGTGTGCACTTCCTGTTAGTCCGGCCGGGTACAGGAAACAAAAGCTCCCTGTACCCGCGGACCATGATACAGGGCTCGGCCACGCTACAACTGAGGTAGGGGGGAAGGGGGGGAAAAGTGACAAGGGAGGGAGGGGGAGAAAGAGTGACAAGGAGGTAGGGAGAAAAAGTGACAGGGAGGAGGAGGGAGTGACAAGGGGAGGGAGGGAGGGAGAGAGTGACAAGGGAGGGAGGGAGGGGGAGAGAGTGACAAGGGACGGAGGGAGGGAGGGGAAGAGAGTGACAAGGGAGGGGGAGAGGGGGAGAAAGAGTGACAAGGGAGGGAGGGGGAGAAAGAGAGTGACAAGGGAGGGAGGGAGGGCGAGCCCATTATAGTCCGCGGGTACAGGGAGCATCTGACTGAGTGTGCACTTCCTGTTAGTCCGGCCGGGTACAGGAAACAAAAGCTCCCTGTACCCGCGGACCATGATACAGGGCTCGGCCATGCTTCCTCTCTATATTCAAGGGACACTATAGTCACCAGAACCACAACAGCTAAACGTAGTAGTTCTGGTGTCTATAGCATGTCTTTGCAGGCTTTTTAATGTAAGCACAGCCATTTCGTGAAAAGGCAGTATTTACATTACTGATGAGGAATACCTCCAGTGGACACTCAGATGGCCACTAGAGGTGCTTCCTAGTCGAGACATGAATGCCGCCCTATGAAGTATCTGCGCATGTGCGGCAAAGCTGCCCATCGCACCAGAGAGCAATGACGCTTTTGAATAGAAGCGTTTTATTGCTCCCTGCTCGCACCCTCCTATTTCGTTATTTTGACGAAATAGGGGGCGCAGCATCAGGAGGATCCCGGCGCTGTATCCAGGTAAGTAAAATCCCTTCCCTGTAGTGACCCTTTAAAGTTATTATTTAATCATTTATATAGCAACTGCAAATTCCGTAGCGCTGTGCAATGGGATAAACAACTCATAGTTTACGGACTAAGAATATACCCGGCGAGTAAAAATGCTATCCCCCCAGATTTTTTGGGGTTCCTACGCCCATGCCCAGGGGCCCCACAAGCATAGGGACCTCACAATGATATCCATGGGTTGAAGCCAACAGGGGAGATCCTTTCATCTCCTCTGCCAGTCCATGCAAAGCCAGCCTTGCTGTCTGTCTTCTCGGACCTCTGGGGAGATCGTTAGGGGAAAGGAGGGGAAGACGACATGGATGGCTGTGTGTTCCTCACATGAGCAGGCAGTTCAGAGCATTGTTGTGCGTTACTATGGCAATACTCTGACACAGCACTAAACTTGTGAGTGGAGAAAGTCAGCCTGCTAACACACCGCACTATTCACACACTGCAGTCCTATACTCACTGCAACTCTCACAAACACACTGCACCCCTATAATACACACATCGCACATCTCATGCACACACTGAACCCCTCACATACACTGCACCCATACACAAACTGCACCCCTCCCACACTACACCCCTACACACATTACAACCCATACACACTGCAGCCCTACATACACTGCACCCCTCACACACACACTGCCTCACTGCAGTCTGTGTGTGTTTTCTGCTGTCTGTGTGTGTACTCAGCAGTCTGTTTGCATGTGTATTCAGTAGACTGTGTCTCTTTGTATTCAACAGTCTGTGTGTGTATTTAGCAATCTGTGTGTATTCAGCAGTCTTTGTCTGTGTATTCAGCAGTCTGTGTGTATGTATTCAGCAGTCTGAGTATGTATTCAGACGTCTCTATGTGTATGTGTAT